CTTTAGGATCAACAAGTGGTTGAGTTGCTGCTGGTAGTGGATAGTTTACCTATCTGATAACGCTACAATGTTTCACATCATAAGATTTTGCATAAATTTTCATTCGTACTTTCCAGTGAGAAAAATGTTGTCCATTGAAATATGGTGGCCTGACTTGAGACGTACCTTCTTGAAAGAGTACTCCAACAGTTACTTGATTTGCCATAATTTTTTCTCACAAGCTGTTAACCAAAAAGTGTGAGACCTGCTCTGATACCAATTGAAAGTGCAAGAGGGTGTGAATTGTATTTTTCTTCTCTTTTTTGAGGTAGTCGACTAATTTGTATTCTAGTCGACTAAACTTTTCAGGAATAGAATATAGAAGATAAATTGCAGAAAGTAAATGGCACAGTGTATTTTATACTGGTTCGGATTCAGAGTGAATCCTATGTCCATTCCTCTTGGGTTGCAAGGGTGATCTCTTCCAAGTATGAAGTAGCTTAGTACAGATGGGTTGATGTTGTTATACACCAACAGCTTATGTCACTTTGTTCTTTTCTCCATAATTGATACAATGCCTCACCAGTATTCTTTTCTCTCTCTCTTATCTTCTTTGTTACACAAGAAATCTAAAGTAAACTACATTATTTGTTTGAAGTAGAACAAAGAGATTGAAATTGGTTTGATTAAAGTATATATTTCCAAGACTGATGCAGTAGGTATTTATACTTCTGGAGGCTTTCATGTCTTGTACGTCTTTTTGAGAGATTGCAAACCCACGGGAGTTGTACTAAGAAGGAATCGTAAATTGATTCTTTCCAAGATTAATTCTCTGTTTATTTGCCTTGACTCGTGAGCTTGATTTATTTCTTCCTTTAATGAGAGAATATTCTCGTTGCCAAATTCCTTGATTGATGCTTCGACTGACGTATTTATGTGGGAGAATCTTTAGCATATAATTTCGTGCCCTTGACCTCCTTTGATTGAGATCCTTCATATAATATCTTTTTTGATTGATTTTGCTAGCTCCCTTGATTGATTTTTCCGCTCCTCTTTCGTTTTTCGTTTGATTCATTTATGCCTCCATTCTATTGCTCAGAAATTGTTCCTGCACATAAGGAGTAATTGGTTATTTTGGATCATTGAAATCAACTTAGATCTAACACTTTTAACTTTATCAAATGCATAAATAAGTCAAAAAGTGTTTATAAGCTGGTTTGACCAGCTTATAAACTTAGCCAAACAAACTCTATATATGTTTTCGTTGAGACGACACTATTGAAGGTTTAAGGCTCGTTAGCTTTAGAATTATAAGTTTGATATCGTGCTCGCTTATATATTTTTATGATTAGGAACTTTTACTGATAGCAAAAATATTGGTGATAAATGTTTGAGGTCGTTGATTAATGTATATCATTATACATATTTTCCGTAGTTTTTAAAGGAATGAAAATTTCTTTCCTATAATTCGAAAAGTCTAGATGCAAAAGTAAATTTTCAATACTTTTACTTTTCAGTAATACAATTTGTTATAATGATTAGTATTAATATTTATTTTTATACCTTTTAGACTCTTTTTTACTTGTAATTGTGGATCAATGAATTACAGATACTTCTAAGGCGCTGAGAAATAAGCAAAAAAGATATTAGTGCTCCTAAACGCTAGCATATACTCCTTTTGACCCAGCCATTCGGATTTTCTTTTCTATGCAGACTCGACAATTTAAAATAAATTCTTGGATTTAGTTATTCCCCTATTCAGAAGATTATGGTAAATTTTAATCTATGTTGAAATACTAAATATTAAAAATTCGAAATACTAAATATTAAAAATTCTTACATATAAAGAATGGTTCAAATAGTAGAAGTTTTAGGCAATTTTAGATTTCTAAATACTAGAAAAATAATATAATTTATAACTTTTTCCAAATACTATATTTAAGAGCTGTTTGGTTCAAGGAATTAGGTTGATTATTCCAACATAAAATTAATATTATATTATAAATAAAAAAACATTTATATAAAAATACCCTTCTAATTATCGAGCTCCAGCGTTTCATATGTAGGGCCGTTTCGTTCAAGGGATTAGGTGAATTATTTCGTGATAAATTTTAGAATTAAATTTATTTCATATTTTGTTGGAGATATTAGCCAAAATTAGTTTTTATTTTATTTCAAAATTTTGATGTAATTTATCTCATATAAAAGGCGGGATATCCCAATTTTGTACCAAATGACCCGCTAAATTTAAATGTTATTAAATTATATAATATTTTGAAAATTACATGAAGAAAGTACCAAATGGTATTCATAATTAAAAAAATATTTAAAATTGCGATTCATTTGGTAGAAAATTTTAAAATTAAAGGTCAAAAGTGTTTTTTTCCCTAAAGTACTTTTTTTCTCTCAACTTAAGGTGTTTGACCAAGCTTTTTTATGAAAAAAAAATATTTTTGGGAAGAAGCAAAACAGTTTATGAGAAGTAAAAAAATAGATTCTTCCTAAAAATAGAAGCAGAAATAGTGACTTTTCCGGATAAGTACAGAGCGCATTTTATATATGTTTCCTCGCTTGTGCAATTGGATAATAATATTTTCTTAAAGTGTGGAACCTTACATACTTGGCTGCAAATAACTTCCTATCTTCTCATACAAAAACAAAAGTATATATTTATGTTGCTCTGAAGTTTAGTATGCAAGACATGGAAAATTTTCTTCATTTTTTGTATTTATTAGTTACAATATCTAGGTAAGTAAATAAATTATTTAATTAGTGGTTATCTTACTTGATGTATTATTATGCTCGGTTAGATGTTTTCATTCTTGAAAGAGGAAGTGTATTTATCTTCTGGGGTTATCCTTCAGGACTAACATTTAATTTTTACTAATGACAATTATATTGTAGCCATTCGAAATTACGAGAAACAGAGTTATTCAATGAATTATTATGTATGCTCATAAATAAGGATCTTCCTTCGAGTTTTAGCTGTTGACTATAAAAGTTTTATATATAATAATAAGGGTATGAGAGTTAAATATTCGCAATTTCTTTATCTATATCGAATTTAATCAAGATATGTGAATATTTTCGTATTGTCTATTCAGTACTCCAATTGATTTTTTAATAATGATGATTTTTTTTCCATGATGAATGACAATTGTGTGTGCTAATATAATACCAGTACTAAGTTTTATAGGGTCCTCAATCCAAAAAGATAATTATATTTCCTTCCGATCAATTTCTATAGCGTCAACTTATTGTAAGTTTTTTTTTTCAATTGGAGCATTTTGTTAGTAAATATTTTATTTTTCAATCTCTAGTTAATTTTAAAGAAATGATTTTAATTTTATCATTGTACCGCAATAAATTCACTAGTTTATATATACTCAAAGTATTACTTTTTCAAAGGTCAGAGTTGATTGGGGTGCAACAGTTTGAGGAACATTCTACATCACTATATTTCCATGCCTTCCAAAAAGAACTCCTGAAACTTCTGGAACATTCAATTCAGTTTTTCTCTCACACACACATAAATAGCAGAAAAACTCCCCGTTTCTCTCATCGTAAAACACAACTAATAACTTTAGCTATCAAAAGAATATCAACAAAGTTAACAAATGGAAAGCCCATTATACGGAAGCTATTGGTCCCAGCCGACTCGCCCTCGCTATTCCTCAAACATGAAAGGAATACCCGTGCTGCCGATACATCAAAATGCTATCGGTATTAAGCCGGTTGTTCAGATTCCGGTCCACTTCGTCGGTTCGGATCCTGAGCGGTCTGTTTCAGTCTTGAAGACTCAGAAATCTAAGCCGGACCAGTCCCTTTTCTCCTTAAGGATTCAGAAGGTATTCAGAGGCTTTTTAGTGAGAAAAAGCGTGAAGAAAATCATATCAATACGAAAAGAGGTGGACGAAATAGAGCGCAAGATTTTCTGCGGCGAAATGGCGGAGTTGATTCAGAGAGACGAAAGGGAGAGGTTGCGGGTGAATGAGACACTCATGTCTCTGCTTTTGAAATTGGATTCCGCTCGTGGAGTTGATTCCGGTGTTAGGGACTGCAGAAAGGCTGCGATTAAAAAGGCAATCTCTTTGCAAGAGAAAATTGACTTTATTGTTTCCGCAGGTAATCAAATTGCAGTCAAAGAGGAGAATAAATACAATGATTCCGATGAAGTCCCTAAACTGGTCAATCCGACCGAATACATCCCCCATTCCACAGGAAATCAGGACGAAATTGAAAAATCGACATATCAGAGTGAAGTTTCTGATCTATTGGAGCAGAGTGTGGAAGCAGAAAATCAAGCAGCATTGAATTGTACGAAGAAAGATGAGAAAACACAAGTAGAGGGCGAATGCGATGCAGCACCATCAATTGAGAAGTCGGATGAGTTGCCGGAGGTAAAGGAGGTAAGTGTGGAGAGAAGCGAAGTAGGAGATGTGATTGAAAGAACTGATGAGGAGGAGAATGAAGTTAGGGTTACATGGGGAAGATGAGAGTAGAAAAAGCAGAGAGTTGATGGAGAAAATGGTGGAAAAGAATGAGAAGATGATGAGAATGATGAATGAGCTGTGCCATAGAAACGAAATGCAAACGCTGATGCTGAATTCGCTGGCGCAGAGGGTGGCGCAATTAGAGAAAGCTTTCCTATGTGATAGGTTGAAGGCAAAGACAAAGAAAAAGAGGTATGCTGCTTAAAAACTGCTCCGGCAGAAGCCGAGCGAATCTTGTTTGAGAGTGTTTACAATGACTTTGTGTTTCTAATGAGCAGTTCGTTGGTTTTGTCTTTTTTTTTTATCTTCTCTTACGCATTCATATTTTAGTTATTTTGGGACGTGTACTTACATAAAACAGAGATATTGGAATGTAAAGCTTATTACCATGGAACTTCATTATGCTGGACTTTCGCCTTGTGATTCTTTGGTTTAGTTACTGGAACTAAATTGGTAATTTTTCCGTAGCACTAAAAAGGTATCATCGCATGTGTCCTTCTTATTCGGCTTCTCCTCTTATGATGTTAGCTACATCTCTCCCTCTCTATATATAGGGGAGGCCATGGAAGAAGTGACTTGTACCTCTCTAGGACCAAAAATCACATTTATTTATTTTCTTAGATTTTTTTACTTTATTTGTTTTGTTTTGATTTCTGAGGACATGACCCTGGATAGAAAGTTGTGGAGGTCGAGCATTATGGTTGTAGGTTAGGAGATAGGAGGCTAGTATGATACTGTTTTGTTTTAGGCTGCTAGTGACGCCAGTTGTGTTCTTAATACTTCGTTAAGGTTGTAGGTTAGGCTGTAGAATGTTTAGTGGCCCTTGTTGTGTCCATATTATTCCTTTGCGTCTGTAGTACCGTCCATTTATTACTGCTTAGTGTTGTTACTTTTCTCTTTATTTTCTGGTTATTGCGTTGCTGGTGTTATCCTTCTGGATTCCTTTGTTGTTACTGATACATTGTCTCTTTCCTTCTTCTTGTGTCGAGGATCTATCGGAAACAACCTGAAATAAGGTATGCGTACACATTACTCTCTCTAAACCCCACTTGTACGATATCAGTTGGGTGTTTGTTGTCAGTTGGGTGTTTGTTGTTGTTGCTTTAACAAGCCTAAAAGTTATGTCTCTTTATATCAATTAATGAAAGAAATGCTTTAACAAGCCTAAAAGTTATGTCTCTTTATATCAATTAATGAAAGAAAGAGTAAATTTAATAGCTGTTACCGTTAACAAATACAGTTGTGCATTAATTATTATTTTAATAAAGGTTACGCACCACGTCTGATAAAAAAGTACAGGCGTCGAACAATGACTCTCTCTTTTTAGAACGGGTGATTGTGTCATATCATATTTTTGACATTCTTCATAGTTTTTTTCTTGACACAAGGATTTGTTCATTGGACAATGGTGATTGCGGTTGCTACATATGGTGGTGGCAAAATAGTTAAAAGAAAATAGTTATCCACTCATATTATCTATTAAAAAATCGATTGGATAATAGCGTCAAAATATTTTGCAAAATAGCGTACTTGCACTCTCTCAGGGAAGTGGAACAGATGTTGTAACATGAGGTACAGATGCTGATGCTATTTTGCACAATATTAAAGATGAGAATATAATTTTGGATTCACCTGAAGAGGAATAACATATTTCTATATCAAACTTGAACACACCATCCGCACCAAAGGAAAGGAAACCTGATTCTACCGGTGTAGCAACTCTTTCTGATATATGCATGCAAGAAAGTGAAAGTAAGTTGCAAGGAAATAAAAGGGTATTGATAGAAAAAGCACCTTTTACTGTTCATGAGATTATTGAAAAGATTCAGCAGGTTAGTGTGAGCAGTTTTATTTTTTTATTTAACAGTTGTAAAATGTTATAATGGACCTTAATCTCTGCATTTGTTTTTTGTTTTTTGCAGAAGCAAACATTGTCGTATAATAAAAAAAGAAAGGGAAAATCTGTGGATTCGTGCCCTAATTTTAATCTTTTGACTCAGTCAAGTCAATCAAGTGATAATGCAGTGAATCATGCTACTACCAACATCAGTGCTTCTATTGATCATGACCCTGCTGAACACTCTGTTGCTGCTGATATAGAGAAATATGATTATGATAGAAAGATTATTTTATATTCAAGTGTGGATGAGGGAGTTGATGTTTCTCCTCTTAAAATTGTTAAGCTTGTTGCTCACTTGGATGTTCATTCTAATCTGCAACCCACTTTGAAATCTGAAATAAAAAAATATAAAGGAGGTAGAAGTTGAAAATAAAAAATTAAATTTTGGCTCCTATAAAGGAAAAGAAGTTGCAGGAGGACAAGCACCACAATTTGGACAAAGTGCATATGTAGTAGAAGAATTGCTTGGTAGAGGAAAAAGAATTCGTAAATACTGCTGGCATTATCAGAAAGTAATCAGAAAGGTGGAGGAAAATTTTGAAACATATTTAAAATAAAACAAGAGAAAAGGTCCTCTTCCAAAGTAAGTTTTGCTATTTGTTTATTGTATTTTTATATGATTTAGATGTTATTAATAAATCTTTTGTTATTGTATTTTTCATATTTGTTCTGTCTTTTTTTTTTTTGGGGAGTAACTGATATTTACAAAATAGACCCTTTACTACAAGTAAAGCCATATGAACTTTACAATGAAAAAATTCAGTCAAGAATGTTCTTTAAAGAGATTGTAGATGATAAGTATTATTTTCATGATGCGGTATGTATATCTCTTTTACGTTGTGAATTCATGATTTTATTTTGTATTATACTTGACATAAATTTATTTATATTTTTTATTCAGCACATAGATATTTTATTGTATTATCTGAGGAAGAAGCATATATATCACATCAATGACTATCCATTTGCTTCGACAACAACTGATGTAGGCTTTGACGACACTTTGGATCTTGCACATAAGGATTGGACTAATAATCCAAAAGAGTGGAATGAGTTTGAATTTTGGAATGACCCTTCTGGACTGGGATTTGGGCTTTGTTAGTATATATTGGGTGAGAATCGTAAATGTGGGATTTCATGGACATCTATTGAAAAAGTATTCTGTCCGGTTCAACTTCCTGCAGTTTTGGTAAATGGTAAAATTCCATTAGATTCTAGCACTCATTATTTTCTGACAGTGTTAGACATGAATGAGAAGACCACATAGATGTATATGATTCAGTGTATAAGAACAATGAGTATGATGTTATAGTGGAGCAGGTTCTTCCTTATAAGCATTTCATTCCTGTGATTTTGGAGTATTATAAATTTGGTGACTTGCATCCTATATTTGGGCATGTATATGAACCATTTGTGGTTCACTGGAAAGAAGCAACAAAACAGAAAGGAATCAAAAGTTGTGATGTATTTGTTATAAGATATGTTGATATGTTGATGAAGGGTGAAGATGTTATGACATTTGTGCTCACTACAATCAAATATTATCGTGACTATCTTGGTTTAGGTCTATGGGGACATGCAGAATGGAAATGCAAATCAGGGTATTCAACTCCTCCAGTGTCACGACCCAATTTTACCTCCGTTGAGTATTGTGATGGCACCTAGTCTTAGGGACTAGGTAAGCCTAACAATAATTAAAATAACAAAATTATTTAAATAGAATCTCTTAAAATTCCCAAAATCAGTAGTACAAGTCATAAGATCTATAGAGTGTTTGCTAGAAAACTTCTAAATACAATTGTCTAGAAATAAGAATAAACAGTGCAAAACAAAAACTGGAACGTGACTCCGAAGCCTGCGAATGCAGCAACAGGTTTACCTTGAGTCTCCACAGCAACAACCCGCACAGCTAGCTAACGAACAAGTACCTGGATCTGCATAAAAATATGCAGAAGAGTAGCACGAGCATACCACAGCGGTGCCCAGTAAGTATCAAGACTAACCTCGGTGGAGTAGTGACGAGGAACAGTCAAGACACCCACTGGTCTAATAAACTGAATAAATATAAGTACATGAATAACAGAAGTATGATGTCTACATAAAGACTATGCAATATGGCTCACAATACAGTAATTGCATTTAAGCAAGAAACAACAAGCATCAGCGGAATATCATGAAAATGACGCAGACAAAGTGAATGGAACACAACCTAAATCCAGAATTACGAATACAGCAAGGACAAGTAATAACTCAATAATTACAACTGCTTTTACATCAGGTTTTAGTCAACAACTCCACGAGGTACCGAACCTCGGACAATTCACAACTCACGGGTCTCAATACCTGAACCCTAACACTTGGCATCCTGTGCCCTCATAACACCTCATAACCGCACTGACGACTCACGTGCCAATAGAGTCATTCTCACATAGAAGGCAAGTAAACAAGGGTGAGCATCTATGCTCAACAATATCAAGAACACCTCTTATCCGATAAGAGTGCTTAACTACGTGTATGCTTGTGCAAGTGTCCTAACATAGTCCATACCAGCAAATAAGCATAAGGAAGAAGAAGAACGGACAACACTTAGAATATTTTCTCACAACTTTCACATGATAAAGCTCACACAGGTACGTATACCACTACACAAATATCAACAACAAGAATGCCCCAAGGCTNTATATCCCGCCTTGTCACGCCGCATGTGCAAATATCAATAGTAACAATAACACGGCCAAAACCTCGTGCAACCCCATAATAACAACCGCACGGCAGAAATATCGTGCATCACAATAATAACAATCGCACGATAGAAACCTCGTGCATCACCACAATGAATACAACAACAACAATGGCAATAATACAAAGTACGCCAAGTAAATCAACTCAACAACCTTTAAATCACAAGAAAATATGGAACCAATTCACAAGGAATAACCACAGTCTGAAATGCTAGGCGTAAAGAGAACAGCTCAACAAGGGAAAACTAATGTGTAGCAACGATCCCACAATATATACCTCAATAACAGGGAAGCTAACACGAGTCAAATAATTCCAAATAAAACAAGTCGACTGAAATATAGGATATCTAAACTTCTTTTAAGGTTGAGAAAATTACGAAGGATATTCAACAATTCAATTAAGGAT